CACAAAAGCCGCCGGCGGGGGCCCTCGGGTGCGTTTCACACTTGACCGCAGCCACTGCGTAAATCGGGTTAATCCCATGCACATAAAGTCGATGATGCTGGCCTTCCCTTTCAACCATCGTAGGCCGCTCTTTAATTTCTCGACTTCTACAATCGCGGTCGACTAAGGCACCCCATGAATAGAGCATTATGCGATGATGGGGCGAAGCAATGGTCGGATTTCGTCAACAAGTTGTGTCGCGCTTATGTCACCCAAACCTCCGCTGATTAAACCGCTTCATTATTGTGTAATCGCTCATCAAAGACAATTGTTCTAATTCACCTGTCATCAATTGACACATGAGTGTCTGATGCTGTTGGCTTATTGTGGTCTACTTGATTTTCGAGTTCTTGATTTATAAGAGTATCATGAGAGGGTGGGATTAGAAGGAGGTAAAACACCATTACTAATCAGTTTCTGAGCCTTGCAAAGTCAATGATGAAAAGTTTTCAGTATTATGGAATTAGCTGCTACAGGGGCTAGGTAATAACATCATAATTTATAGCTACTCTCAAATTCACGGCTACTTTTAAATCATTATGGAAAGAGACGTTGAAAACTGCTCAATGGCTAGGTATTCCAACAAGTATATTACGCACCTTCTAAACGGCTTCTGAGGTAAGAGAAATGAATGATTGAACTTCTCTCTAGACGTTGAGTGCAGCATCACCAGAATTGTGAAGTCTCACAGTGACGTATCCCAATTGATTCCATTGTTAACCTTCAAAGTTGAGTTTAAAATGAAAGCAATAATATTTTCAATCATTCGAAAGTAAGATTTACATAGCCGCTCGCTGTTGAACATATCACATTTTGTGTCATCATCTGTTTATGGTAATCGCTAAAAGGCACTGGAGTAAACAGAATGACTCAGGTTCGTAATGCCCGCTGTATTTATGTATCCCTCTTAGACACTTTGGCTATGAGGCATCGGTTAACGCAGTAAAGAAGAGCAATTCTTTAATGAACAAATATTTGCCTACATCATATTCATCCATATCGCATGCCGGCTGGTCTACTTGTTGTATTTTGAGGTTTCCACATAATAGTGTCTCAGCAGGAGTGAAAATACGCCAGATACATAACATGTCATATATTAAAACAGTTTCTGTGAGAGATTAAAGTATTTTTCTCAACACTCTCCATCGGCTGAAGAATCCTTTGCTCAAAAGAGCCCAGCATCACTCGATACGAGATCGTGTCATTTTCCCATCGTCATTATTAAAGCTTTTGTACTCCATTCAACCCTCATGGTCCCAGTTTCGATGGTATGTTGTTAATCATTGAAAAACTGCTCTTTTGGACGCGGCGTCAAATAAGTTGCTCTTGAAAAGAAACAGATTCGAGAATGCTTCCTTCTGTCGCATGACTTTTTTCATAGCGTTTCTTTTATAGATTCAACATTATTTTGGTTCTGGATGTCATGGTGGCAAAGATCCTTATTTGTGAGGGTCAATCAATACTTGAATGCTTAATAATAAATAAATCAGCATATATCTCATGTAAAATTTGATTTTTTTAATAATCGAAACTACGCAAGAACTGAATATTTCCTCACACGAGGTTCAGAGTGTCGTGACATCAAATTCTGGACAACGAATGTCCCTCATCTTCGCAGACGTTGCCATTTCGTTTTTTGATTGATATAGGTATGGCGCTTTGTGTTCAGAACTACCGCCATTTCTTCAGTCGTTGATGCCGCAAGTACATTTTGATTTAAGGGTTAAAGCCGTCAGACAATGTCGCCAATGTTCATGATACTCCGCACGTCAGCGTGCGACGCCCAGGATCTGGAGTTAAACACTCTGCCGCACTTTTACAAAATTATTCCGGACATTGCTTTGGGTCGTCTGTCTTTCGCTAAAGCGAAGAAAAGTTTGCCTTGTCATTCAACACAAATCAAAGTAGTTATGTCATGAGAAACATGAAATCCTAGGGTTATCTTAAGCACGAACTAAGTCGAGAAGCATAGTTCCTGTAATTTTCCTCAAGAGTTCATTTTGGCCTCTTGTACATGCGCGAACACGCATTTCTGTCATTACTTAAAATAGATGAGCATAGGAACGATGATCGATTTAAACAAACACCTTTTTTTGTCTTCATGCTCGGTGCTACTATGGCTCTGACGGCAAAATGTTTGTGGCAAGATTTATTCTTCGTTCACACGGATACGACTGATACGACTCGCTCTTAGACGATCTTATCGCAGTTCAATGAGCTACGGGTGCAGCTCTCAACATCCACTAATTTACGTTACGGTAAGAAATCGTGATTTGGCCGTGTTTACATTTTAAGTGTATGCAATGTTTCTATCGATTAGCGTGATCCATGAACTCTGCCATTCAGTCTGTTGAACAAACGGATGCTATGTCACCAAATGATGACTAGCTTTTTCCTACCTTTTCCAACCGCCATACATCTCTCCGTGCAAAGAGGGGTGTCATTTTTGTTTGAATCTATGCTTCATATGCTGAGATGCAGTCCAAGAGCAATGAATAAAAAATGGTGGAAGGTGGGGGTAGTCTTTAATGCTGGACAAATCCATACCGCGATAATTTTGTGATTCTGATATTTCTGTCTACTCTCTTTCCATCCTGGACTCTCACTGGTGACATTTTAGTTTTTAACCCAGCACTGCTACAAAACTTTCCTTTAAACTAAGGTACTGTAATGCAGCATAAATGAGTAATTTTCGAAATGTCTTCTTCCGTGCTTAAGCTTTTGGAGGACAATGTCTAATTTTTGAAGAATTTGTGCAATTTCTCTTATGGTACATTGCTCGATCTATCAGCAACGTGTAGGGGAAAACCCTATTTATGGTGTCGATAATGAATGCTTATGAACCTGCCCAACCTAGCGCAGAATGAATACGACTTTTAGTTGCATGCCTCAGGGATTTCTTAACCTTCATTCAACTCCGTCAAGAATCATGGTTGTGCATGCACAAAATTAGGAAAACTACCGTTTCCTAATTTCTTAGGACATCGTCTTGCAGTTTCTCCAGTTTTTCCTTCATGGCTCTCTTCTTCTAATGTTTTTCTAAATTGACATATGAAAATATACATAATATTTGCAAATCCTATCCCATTAGCTTACTAACAGGGCTGTGGTTGTACTGCTGATTTGCAAATTATGAATACGAAGACATCATTCCTAGCAATGCTGGACATAAATTTACAGATTAATGGACAACGGATATTACTGTAGAAAAGCTTTAAAAATTACTACTACAATAATGACGTTATTTTCAAGCACGAGTTCTAGCCATTGCTTAAAACTGTCCCAGTTGTTTGCATAGCCACTTTGCAACGTTTCTTTACGTTAGTGGTTCCAAAATCCTGGGGGTGTGATTCAAATAAGTGTGGCCAATATCGCATTCCTGAGGGTTGGAGGCAAACATTTGGCAAAAATTATGAATTTGTACAATTACATCATGCAGCTGGGGCATGATTATGTTTTCATTGTTTAAATAAATTAATTACGTTAATATAATAAACAACAAGTACATATCATAAGAATTCAGTCAGTCAGCGAAGTTTAAAGACCTCTTATTCATTCAGGTCGCGTAGGCAGACGCTTCAGACAATGCCTTCAACGTTTCCACTCCTGTGCCAGTATTTCACCTTTGGCAGAAGATCCCGTGAGTCTGGAGCAGAGTCCTTCGATACACTAATCCGAGGATATTCATGACCGTTCCTTGGATCTTCATCCGATCGTATGGGCAAGTACTAGCAGCAAACAGCA